TGCCTTTATATAGGCCTTGCTCATGTAACGCCTCCGAGATCTCCGGGAGGTCGTGTCTAACTGATGCGAGATCCTTGGAGGTAACCGCCATGCACATTGACCATCTTCAGGAATGTGGGCCAACCTCCAAGGATCGTGGGGTATGCATGTTGAGTTTGTCAGAGAGCATGTCTCATAGGTTGCCAGGTTGGTGCATGTCAAGCCGCCAGGCCACGCTAGGTCGGTGCAAGCCGCATCAGGCCGCCAGGCCGCGCCAAGCCGCACGTAGGTCGCCAGGTGGGACACTATCAACTTGGCAAGTTGTTGCCTGGGTGTCACCTAGTTGTCACAAGGTGCCATGTTTCATAATGTCATTGGAGGGCCAAATCTTTCCTCATCATTTGCCCCCCACTCCCGAGCTGAAGGTAACTTGGCGAAGGGAGTAGATTTCTCCTTTTGGCCCGGAATTCGGTGAGCTCATAAGCGTTGATTCAATTCCTTAGGCTCGGGGAGTGACTCGCAGTCCACTCATGGATTTTGTCCATGCCGAAGAGGCGATTGTGTCTTAGGTTCTGGGAGCGACTCGTAGTCCACTCTCGTTGACTTTGCCCATGCTGAAGAGGCGACTGAGTCTTATGTGGTATTTTAGCCTATAGGCTCTGGGAGCGACTCATAGTCCACTCTCCTTGACTTTGATTTTGCTCATGCCGAAGAGGCGATTGGGTCTTATGCAGTATTGTAGCCCTTAGGCTTTGAGAGCGACTTGTAGTCTACTCCTGGATTTTTCCCATGCCGAAGAGGCGATTGTGTCTTAGGTTCTGGGAGTGACTCGTAGTCCACTCTTGTTGTCTTTGCCCATGCCGAAGAGGCGATTGGGTCTTAGGTTCTGGGAGTGACTCGTAGTCCACTCTTGTTGTCTTTGCCCATGCCGAAGAGGCGATTGGGTCTTANCCATGCCGAAGAGGCGATTGGGTCTTAGGTTCTGGGAGTGACTCGTAGTCCACTCTTGTTGTCTTTGCCCATGCCGAAGAGGCGATTGGGTCTTATGTTCTGGGAGTGACTCGTAGTCTACTCTAGTTGATTTTGCCCATGCTGAAGAGGTGACTGGATCTTATGTAGTATTGTAGCCCTTAGGCTTTGGGAGTGACTCGTAGTCCACTCTCCTTGATTTTGCCCATGTCGAAGAGGCAACTGGGTCTTATGTGATGAGGAATTATTTTATCAATTCGTCAGTTCACGCCTGGGCCAGGCCGCCAGGTTGGCACTCGTGCTAGGTCGCGCTAGGCTGCCAAGCCACTACGCCGCGCGTAGGCCACGCCAAGCCCCGCCAGGCCGCCTACACGAAGCTACTAGGAGCTCGACCTTCGGGGGCAACACTACTAACTTTAGGTCGCCAGCTCACACAGGAGCCTTGGAAGGCTCGACCAGCAAGGGCATGTAGTCTGTTGGCCGCCAACTCCCATGGAAGCCACGAAGAGCTCATCTTTATAGAGGAGACCTCACGAAGAGGACTGATGAGGTTTTATCTGGATTGAAAGTAAAATTGGTATAGCTGCTTAGTCTGTTAGCTCCCTGAATAGTCTTTGAGTTCATAAAAAATGGAAAGTATAAAGCGAGAGCTTTAATTTCTAAAAAATGAGGACTTAGCTTTTTAGAGGAGGAGAACTTAGCTTTTTGTAGCGTTTCTCACAGACGCCACCAATTGATGAATCACTTTTTGGTGATGTATCAATTTTTTGGCTAAGTACCTCATCATTTGGTCTGCTTCCAAGTGGTCGATGACTCAGGCCGGAGTGGAGCTGCCTGGTGGCGAGCTGCTTAGGGGCGAGCTGCTTAGTGGGAAGTGCCAAGCTGGCCAGGTGCCGAGCTACCTGGGAAGTGCCAAACTGGCCAGGTGCCGAGCTGCCTGTGAGGTTCCGGACAGGTGTCGAACTGACTAGGTGTCGAACTGCCTGTAAACACCCATCTTTGAAATGGCGAAGTTTAAAGTTTTCGTCGCTCATGCTCTAACGAGCGAACGTAATGAGACGCGGGTAAAGAAGATGGTGTTATGGGTTATCCGGGTCGGATGTCTTACCCATTTGGACAGATACCATTTAGCCCGGTTTATTAATTGCATATTAATATGGGGTAACGAGCCGAATTAATAATTAACAGTACTGTCAAAAATTACTGTTAATAATTGACACGTGGTTACTTATTTAACTAATAGTAATAATTGACGTAAAACCGATTAATAATAATAATATTCTTATTAATACAACAAATTAATGTGTTTATTATAACATTAATTAATTATTATAATAATTAACAAATTAACAAAAACTAACAGTAATTAACAGTAAATTATATTTCAGGAATTAATAATTATATAAACACATGTTATTATAATTACTATTAACTAATATTATAATAATTATTAACACATGTTAATAATTAACATTACGGTAATAATATATATATGAAATCATTTAATCATCCAAACAGTAATAATTAATGTTATTATAATCAATTAACAGTAATTAATTATTAATTTTAATGAAATCATTTAATTTCAAACTGGTTTCTTTTAATTAGGGTGGTTATTAATTCGAAAAAATTAATTACTGTTAAATATTAAAATAATACTAATTAAGTTTCTAATTAATAAATTTCGTCTATTAATTACTAATTATAATTACTCACTGAATTAATTACTAATAATAATTTCTTATAATAAATATAGCTAATACATAATTACTGCCACTTAATTAATTAATGCTAATTACTAACTTTTAATTAACAGCGGTAATTAATTATTAAAAATATTTACTTACTGATAATAATTACTTATAATTAATTATTGATACTAATTACTTACTGTTAATAATTAATTACTGATAATATTGGTACTTATTAATTCCGACCGGTAATTAATAATGATAATTACTATTTCGAATTTATTCATTTAATATTTGTATTAATTCATAATATTTAAAACCGATCTACACCGGTTTTAATAATTGTTAATTAATTATTTAATTACGTTAATTATCATTTATTATTTCCATTAACAATTAATTAGCGTATTTAACTAAGTTAATTAACAATTAATTATTACTTAATAACTAAATAACTATTAATTACATTACTTAATAAATAATTATCACTCATTAACAATAATAACCAAAATCTCGATATTTATAAACATTTAAAATAAGTAATGATTATTGAATATTTACTTTTTATACTTATTTTCAGTAACAATAATATTAATTATTATACTGAATAATTAAATATTATTATATTAAAATACTGCATATTTGTTACAATAAGTCTGAATTTATAATATTACTGAAAATAATAATAATTATTGTTTTCAGTAATAAAATATTATTACTTAATTTAAAACATTATGTTAGTAATTATTTTCAGTATTTAGTAAAAATAAATACCTACAATAAGTCTGACTTTTCAAAATTTCACATTTTTTATAAATTAATGTAATTACTGTAAAAGTTAATTATTATGTTAGTAATTATTGTATATATTTCAGGGAAAAAGTTAAAAACTGAAAAATGATAACTAATTATTTTGAAACCTGATATTTCAAAATAATTA